ATACTTTACCACAGATTACTGATATCAATGTATGATTGTGTACTATACATACATTCAAAATCTAAAATGGATTTCACATAGTTTAACGTCACATACTGCCAAACGCACTACCTAGAGGTTGTCCAGAGCTTCTGGGTTTATACATGGTCCTACAACAACAGGTTGTGATGAAAATGGTTCATGTGTTTATTTTCGGAATTATTATTCACTCACTCCAAATAATACGTTGACATTAATGATTTTTAAAAAAATCATCGTGGATTAGAGCAAAAATAACCAAGAACAAAATCGTCAAACAGCGTACACAAAACATGTGCATAAAATATCGAACTAGATGCATGCAATGATTTATTCATAGTCTGTGATATTTCAGCAATAGTTCCATTTTCATCATTTTGTCATTTCACTTTTGCTGATGTAGAAATATGCATGTGATAAATAGACAATTCCACAATATTTTCTCTTAGTTTGAGCTCAGTAGACACTCGTGATTACCAATTCTTGTCTAATGCTGGAATTGATACAAAACACTGGCAGTTATTACGGTACTCGTGTCTGCTGACACCAGCCTAAGAAACTATATACATGGATGTATGTGTGCTTTTTATATGTTTTCAATGCACGACCCCCCCCTTTCACGAGGCGCCTCGGTAAGTCACAACCCTCGATAAGTCGCGGTTTTTGCTTGGATCCCGACACCCGCGATTTAGCGAGGGCCACTGTATAAGTATCACATTATGACTTACCGGTAGTAGGCAACAAGTTTGATTTAATACAGCAAAAAAATCCTACATAAATTATCCTAGCTTAGGCAGACATACATATGCAAGAATCAATGACAACAACAGGAATCAGTTTGAATGAGCAGGTAATTCAATAGAAACTACATCTTGTATTGCAGGTGAGGAAAAGAGATATATTAACAATTCATATTACCTTCATATGATTAACTATTTTTGCAAGGATTCCAAACTTGTACTTGGAACTGGCTTTCAAATACTTGTAATTCAATTCAGTTGGTCTACTGCTTGCTACAACTGCAAAATAAATGTGACTTATTTTAGCGTTAAATTTATACATTGCATATGCATTGTAAAATACTTTAATTTAGCTAGAATTAATTTTCACTGAAAAGACTTTTTGTATGTCAGCACTCTGTCTGTAACTTTTGAGCTAATTCTTAAGGTTTCATTCATGTAAACACATCCCCTGCCGTAATGTCTTTATAGAACAGTCATTTTAGCTATCCGTGGAGTGATGTGATAATTTCTATGACAAGTGTACAACAAATACAGGACATACAATAGCATCAGTTTGTGGATACACAACTGTACCTTGACTTTTAGGAGAAGATGGTTTCTTTTTCTTTCGGGACGATTCTGATGCATGTGCATGTTTGTGTTTTCTCTTCTCCACTGTGGGCAGTGCTAATGCCCTTTTCCTGAAAGCATCCCTTTCTCTCAACAGTGCTGGATCCATACCAAATTATGATGATTTAAACTGAAATACAGAAAAATAAATATATGTCAGGTCAGACAGATACAATTAAATATTTGGTAAATAAAGTCTGGAATATTAATGCTGCTATCACTGCTCATGTACTAGATGTCATTCACTGGCTATGTCCCCCCCCCCACACACGAGTATTTTTGGATTGAAGATACATATTACTACTTAGCCTGACATGTAGACGCTAGTGGCGCCCTCGCTGGCCAAACTGCACCAGACCCCACTAATGCCTGACAGAACAGTGTATGTCTCGTGCATGTGCATATTTTCTTTCCTCCCTTGTTATATATATAGTGCAGGTGGATTGACCAGAAACAGGTAGTGATTTTCGAGGGTTCGGAGCGTTGATAGTTCAATTGAATGATATATGCTTGCTTCACACACAGTCCCTCCACACATTACCAAACTGTATTAACTATATAATTTCTATTATTATACATCTGTCACCGTTATGACACAAGTTACAGTGTGCCGTAATTTTGCGATATTTTACGGTATTTTCATCCTACAACATTAGGAAATGCGAATTCCAAATATGGAATGATTACGCAGATGTACCGGGGTATAATTTTATAAGGTTATACTTTTCGGTATCCTCGTAATAATCTTAATATTATTTTGTGCAAGGGTAAGGTCCTGTGTCGGGACGTAGATGTTAATGTATTGACACGAATAGATCGTCAGGCCCCTGTAGTGCTAACTGCTAGCAGAGTTAAACAGAGAAGTGCTCAAACAAAAGTCCAATCCCAACTGCATGGCACAAGATATAACACACAACAACAGCAGTAGATTTTGGATTTTAGTCAAGGAATTTGTACATATGTTCCATGCGTGTACTATATGTCGGAACAAAACATGTGCTACTCCCAGACATCTACAATCAATGAAATATTGATCAAATTACGTTACTCACCGACAAAAACGTCAACAACAGTAAAAACAGCTGTCTTGTATCACTCACAATTTGACCCCGTGTAAATTCGCCACGAATAATATAGTGCATTCGACTTCATTCGGATTGTCGAAAATGGTATTACTTGCGTAAAATCACTAACCAGAGCGGACAGACGAAGAAGTGCATTTAAAATTAGTAACTCATGGTTGTAACGTAAAACGCGAGGGGGGTTGCCAAATGCGTGCGGATTAATACTGTATGTCTGGTCCGTGTTGTGTTCGTAATATATGTCACCGCTGCGGGCGCACTTGAATATTGTGCGCTTTCTAGAATTCGTGCGCAGCCATCGAAGCACCCCGGTGCACACAGCAGTCAACTGTTTACGTTATTTCATTTTGGAAGCATTCATTTTGATATGAAATACACAATGTTATTTGAGTTGGGGCTTCTGGGGACCGTGTTTTTTTATTTTTAATTATTCATATACAACTGGATACGTCAACCTTTCTATGTAGTAAAGTTGCATATTATTGGCGATCCGCTCCCCTAGTAGGATTGCCCTTAAAATCACTTTTGTTGGCGACCCGCTCCGCCAGGATTGGCCTTAAAATCACTTGTGTGCGTGGGTGTGTCTCTGTGTGTGATTTCCAGTGTCCGATTTGGCTCAAACTTGGCAGGTACCTTCACTCTATTTAGTAGGTAAAATATGAAAAACAATTATGGTCTACTGTTGCCATAGCAACAGCCCCGAAACTGATTTTTGAATAGCTTCACGCCGGCATTGTTACACTGTATCAACGTAAGTTCCAAATCAATTTTGAATAATAATAATAATAATAATCTTTATTGCATAATCATATCCTTATTTGAACATTGACTCAGAAAAGAAAAAAAATTACAATAAAGATGAAAAACGGAGGAAGTAACAAAAGGGAAGCACTAAAATAGAAAAGAATAATGCTAGTTTTGTTATTTTTTGGCTGTTAGTGCTTGTTAGCATTGTAATCAATTTATTAGTATTTGTGTTGTTGCAATGTATTACATTTATTTCCTATACTGTCGACAGTCCTCGGGCCTAATGTAATTGTGCTTCCTAGACATTCGAACGCCGTAGACGTTTGATGGGAAATGCGAACCATTTCACGCGAGGGACTTTAGTCCCGAGAGACTGTCCCCGTCTACAGGTTTCTAGTTGATATGAATAATTCATAGTTGATGCTGACGTCACGAAATAAATTATATTAACGTAATGTAGGCAAATGTATTCTAAATGACCCCCTGAATGCGTTGGTTGTCCACATTATCATGAACACAATGAATACGACTCAGGAAGAAATTTCAACAAACTAAGCGAGAGTTATTGGAAAGGTCGCAGGCATTTTCATCTAAGAAAATGACAACTGAAAGTGGGAGATCCTTGGTTTCGAAACGAGTTCTTTTTTGACAAGACGAATGTCAACACGGCACGCTGACGAACACATCTCTCCCCTCTGTGTGTTTGCGATAGTAACTCGCTGGTATTCTTTACAAGAAATATCATGGTAGTCTAAGCGCTCCAGCACTTTTATAATGTATTCGTCACAATTTGTTTGTGTCATGATATCAAAAACTGCTGTGGAAAGTGCCGCGATCGCGTATAGAATCCGTATAGTACAGTCAAAACAAACTTCGCGTAATTCGTGGGCGATCCTAGTAGCCAGCGACCCCTGACCCTTGTTACGATTGGCCACGATAAAATGATAGAATGATAAAATAAAAATCTGCGCGACTATTCATTTGCATATGAAAGTACCCGGATCTGGAAAGAAATCTTACCAGTGAATTGCAGCACCGGACAGTCGGTAGTGCCTAACAGCACTCCATACTTCCTGTCCCGGTGTTCGCAATTTATTCACACCTATTACGTTTATACACAATATTTAATAATAATAACAGATTAATATTAGGTACGACCGACTGTTGACAGTCTATTATTTAACATTTCAGTTCTCTCATTTTCATACAGCTTGAATTCACGTAAGAAATGCATTTCGTCTTAAATCTCATTTTGGTCGCAAGCAGTGCACGTTTTACCACTGCAAGGAATTTGTTTGTATGTTCTTTCTCTATTTCTAAATTATGGGCGCTAATTCTCAATTTTGTTAATGCTGCTCTATGTTTTGCATGTGTTACTGTGTGTGCGGGGGGGGGGGTAGTAGAAAAATAATATATATTTTCTTAATTAACAATTTCTACTAGAAAGCGGGCCGTATAGATATTCAGTACATATGCAAACAGAAAACGTTGCCGTTCTAAACATACGACCTCACACGGTACAATCCAGACCAGATCTGATGTTCAGGTAGCCAAACAGTCAAACAGTTGTTCCCAATAACATCTACTAGTAGAATCGTTGTTTTTTTTTAGTACGTCTGCTGTTTGGAAATATTTTGATTTTCGTAACTTCAGGTCGAAAGAAAATATGGAAACGAAATGCCATTTGTTACAGACATTCGTGCATTTTGTTAGAGTAGATTAAACTGATGAAGCAATTTGGTAACTGGACAGTGATATCTAGATTCAAAATCTATTTTACCGTTCATCAAGCGTTAACAATGTCCAATTAATACATGAACACACTTTACAACTGTATAATAAAGTGGAATTCAAACAGTTCTATTTGAATTATCATTTAATTTATTTATTTATATCTTCGTTAGTTTGTGATCCATGTACAAGTACTATATATAATAATATACAAACAGTATAATGCAAGTAGGCCTCTAAATTTTGAAAAAGTCAACTTCTGTTCAAGTATCCACAGTAAATCAGACTAGACTAGCTCAAAGCTATTTTCTGATTTCATTTTTATTCCACCAACTTATTTGTATTCATCATCATTAGTAGTAGTAGTATAATTGTTATTTTTCATTTTTGTGATTTTATCGATACCATGTGATTATTGTATGAATAAACATTTATTTTTATATAACCATGTATGATTAGCATATGATAACATTTACGGCTTTCCATACATTTAGAATACCACGCTGATACCAGCTTCGCAAACGACAGGTGGGTAAAGAACAACAATGGATATTGCCGGCGTGCTAATTATACAATAACAATATTCCAGGTCTCCGCGAACAATTGGACCGGTAACCTAAAGCGCAATCGCAGTAAAAATAATGAACGATGAACTATAGTTCTATGGCGAGTGTAGGTGCAGGTAGTTTTTGTTCGTAAACAATATGCGTCTTCGACCTATCAATTACTACTGGAATGTATGGAATTCTTCACTTCTTTCGTTTTCATACTAGTGGTGTTATCAACTTACGCCATTCGATTCACTGTTTATATGGGATGAATGTTAATGTGATTCATTTCCTTTATACAACAATCCAAAATACATTCCAATTCACCAATTCCTATCATCATCAACATTTTCGATGATGGAAATTTAATCACACATTCCAATCATAGTCTGTAACAATATTCTCAAGTATATTCGAGTTTATAATCAGTCTATTGTGAGTTGGCTACATCATGTAGTTTGAGGGGGAAGTTAACTCCCCGCAGCTGGTTGCATTTCGTTCATAATATTGTGCAAGCCATGAATTATCGTTGTTGACGTTTGTTTTGTTACACTATCATACGTAGGAGGAGGTTCTTCCACGCTCTCTGAACACGTATTCAGATCGTCGTCATGTCCATGGCCACTTTCTACTATTATTCCACTATCTACACAATCATTGTACGACGGGGGTAGGTCGCAGTTACCTAGTACAGGGAAATAAAACGCAACTATTATATATATATATATTTGCTATAGTCAGCTTCGAAAATCGGGCGAACATAGAAGCAAAAACAGATCGTATTATTTTCATAATATAACTGCTAATATTATTTTAATAACATAGTTTCGTGAACTCAGACACTCGCTATTACGTTTCGAGGCCTGTATAAATTATAACATTTAATGTGACGTAATCGAGGGGCACATACTCTGGGAAATCTGTGTACAGCTATTCTGCAAAATCCTAAACTAGCGAAATATGCTCCATACATTTAATTCAACTGCATTCGCAATATTTATACGAATTACAATAATACACACACATGGATATCATTGGAATATTATGTTGATAAACCTTACAATATTTATTGAAAACAATTGCCCGTGAACTTGCTTCGATTTTCAATTTATTAAACAACAACAAATAACATTATGTTTTCAGAAGATAAAGACACTGTCAACTGGACAGAGAATAGCAAAATATCAAGACATTATAATAAATCTTACCATTATTCGTGTTACAATGTATTGATGCAGGGCAAGATCGTGAGCAGAACTTTCTAACGAATACACCGATCACTGAGCATATGACAGAAATGGCTACCATGGCACCAACAGCAGAAAACACGATCAGCATATTCTTATTGATATTAGCTGTTTGACCCATCTGGCATTTAGAGCTAGCTAAAAGAATAAAATTCCGAATTCGAAACATAACAAATCTAATAACATCAATTGGTCAGTGTATAATGTCAAATGTCAATTCAGACTTAACAGGGATTTGTGTGGTTCGAAACAATTTGCCAATCTGTGTTGCCATTCACCGGCATTCGCACGATATATTAAACACCTTTCAATATTGACATTATTAACACCGGTTCCGATAGTTCAGAGCATGGCAGTTTTGAACTTTTCAATGCCGCTCTTGTCTACGTAGATTTTAGACATCGCATTGTATCAACCCATCCATGAAATGTGACGGAGTGGGACAATAGTAAATACGTTGCTTACTGTGTTTACTGATCTGACCATAACAGTGGATCCAAACTGTAGTCAGCCATATAATGGTGACGTCCACAAGACAACGAACCATTCTATAAACAAACCAACGACTGAGAGAACTATTTATGCTACTCTAGTCGCATACTGAAACATATTCTCACTAGTAAACATAAATATAGGAAGGTACATGGCAGCGGTTCTTTTCATGACCAAATCATACAAAAACATTTTTCACCCGGTGATTCAATACGATTTATGAAAAAAAAATATATTTTCCAGTACTATAAGCTACTTAGTTGATACATTACAGATCATATAGGGTTCTAAATGGATAGTTATCTGAAGTTGTTTCGAGGCGCCTTTGTTTCTTTATGTTGATCAATAGTGCGAAAAACTAGGTCAGCTCAGCAATACATACCTATTACGCAGTTTGATTAGACAAGAAAGGGTCCTCTATTTTGCTCGATCTACATTCACTTGAGAGTAGTATCTAAATCACAGTATCGAGTATCGACTTGCCTATCAGGTGGTCTACAATAAGGCATGCGAAGTACAATACCAAAATCTGTAGACTTACTTTGCTATGTCAAACTATGCCAAACTTTCAATTTAATGGGCGTTGCCGATAGGTGACATCATTATAAGTCATGGGTCATTTTTACATGTATTTGAAGGACGAACAACAGAAACGATTATACTGATCATAATAGTAACACTATGGTCATGAAGTTTGTTAGATGGTGTAGATTGTTCTATAATAATCTCCATTGAGCTGTATTTGTTTATCACAATATAAAACACTGGTAATTACTGTAGATAACATTTACAATTACATTTGTTTTTATTGAAAAGAGGCTATTAATTGAAAAGCCCACATACATGTCGTAGAAGAGAAATTTCCGGGATAAAATAGACGTTTTTCCCCTAGACCCCGCTCAGGGTCATAAAAGGAATTTTTCCCGAGATATACGATGTGATTTGTATATGTTATTATTATACACCTGTCACCGTAACGCCATAAGTTACAGCGTGCCATAATTTTGCAGTATTTTACGGCGTATTTTCTTTCTACCATATAAGGAAATGCGAATTCCAAATATGGAATGATTACGCGCGTAAGCGTCCTCATGATAAAAACAAACATGGCTGCCATCGGGGTTTGACCGGACTCCACAAAAAGAAGTTCGCTGATTCTGTTCTAAACTTTTTGGATTTCGGCATTCCCATGATGTATCATTGGGAGGAAAAGATGTATAATAATAAGGTTATTACGAGGATACCACAAAGTATGAACTCAAACAGTACGCCGTACTGTCAGTCTCCGTGCATACTTTTCGGTATCCTCGTAATAACCTCATATTATTACACTTAAATAAAAATATCGGGTCTATGACATGTCTGCGAGATTCAAGTCTAAGAATGTTAAAATGCCTGAATAAATTGATATACTTATTAGAATGGAAGGATATTTGGTGAATTTAAAATTGAATTTAACCTTTCAAGTATGGTTATTAAGGTAGCGAGAGGGGAAAAAACAGAAAAAAATTTTTTTTCAAAAAATTTCGGATTATGAAACATTATATTGTGTACTTTCTTTATCTTTCGCTCAAATTTACTGTGCGCGATGCA